TTGTTCATTTGGATCGGTCAGGCGGATGTCAATGTCCGTTTTTTTCCGAGGTTCAAAGATGCGAGCAACACGGATGAACGCATTTCACATTTGCACTGGATTTCAGAAAATTTTAAAAATAAAAACAGCCAACAGAAGTCAAATTTACATTAATTAAAACTAAAAAAAATAAATGAAAAGATTAGAAAAAACAGTCAGCGGCAGGCAGTAGATCTAGGCATGGTTGTTGTCCTCCTCCTCCTTGGTCAGGTCGACGTAGAACGGCGTCTCCTTTCACAGGAATACATGCTATATTGGCTGGCAGTGTCGCCGCTTGCTGCGCCACCAGCTGTTGCTTCTCCTGCCGCTCAGCCTTCATCGCACGCTCCACAGCCTACCACTCGATCTTCTCGTCTATCGTGCCCATCCACATAGGCGTGCATGATATACAACGGCAACGTGCTCGTCCACGACCATGATTGCCCAAGCAGCGGCCATGGCTCCTCCACAGGCTCGGGCGCTGGTGGTGCTGGTGGTGATGGGGGCATGTTGGTCACCCCTACGGCCGCCCATTCAACCAGCGCGTGTGCAAGGCTAGGCCACCTGGCGAGCTCCTTGCACTCTGGCTCCTTGATGGACCTCCTTGTGGCCTGCTCGAGGGCCACAATGTAGGCCTCCTAACCCCCCCCCCCCACCATGACCGGCAGTGATAGTGGAGCGGTGAGCGCGCGTGGTTCACGGGGCACACCCTTGAAGCACGACCGACGAACCACGCGTCCTAGTTCGGCAAATCCACCGTGTACGTTGGGTCGTGGCGAAGGTCATCCAGGAGTAGAGCACGACGGTGCTGGATTTCCATCAGCTGTGTGCTACCTGAGTCCGGCACGGTCGGCACCGGAACCCTATCGAGGTTGAGGTGCCACCCGCGCGGCAGGTTCACGTCGGGCTACGACACCGGCACACCATGCTTCTAGAAGTGCTAGCAGTGGTGCACCGACACATAGAGGCAAAAGTGCGACCGCCGACTAAGATGGACTTATATGTTATCATAAACTAACCAGTTACCAATTGTATTGTCCAAAAGTAACAACCTAGTCACCTATATAATGTACACTTGTAACCGTTAGATAAATTGTATGGAAGACCAAACAAGGGAGATTCAACAAGGCCATGGAACAATTCACATGCTCCAACCATAGGCCGAGTGGATGATCCTAATGATCAGTGAATGATCCTAATGACAAGCGGCTTGTGAGATGATGTTGCTCCTCTAATGATTGGTGATGTCTGTGCTAGAGCTTGCTTACCGCCCAGCAAGGTAAGAAGTGATGGCTGCAAACGTATTAGAGTATATAGTTCATGAAACCTCTATCTATCAGAGAAAAACAACTCAGTTGGGTCCAAATCAGAGCACCAATCGAAGGGCATGACTAGACGCCATCCGTACTAGCGTCCAGGCCTGGACGCCATCCGTACTAGCGTCCATCCTGGACGCTGTTATTTCTATCGTCCTTCCTATTTTTAAAATTTCCACCAGCCCTTTACCAGTTTCGGAATTACAGAATTATCATTTACTATTAATAAAAAAATCGGTCCTCCATCTGCTGGCTGGGCTGCATTTTTTTATAGAAGAAGCTGCATAGTTTTATTCTTCTTTTTTTTTTGAGAAAGAGCTGCATAGTTTTATTCAAGCAGTGGAGCTGAAGGATTAGGCCCAATTTGGAGGAGGAGAGTGGACGGGCTGGAAAAGGATGGGTTGTCGCAGTGCTGGAGTGGGCTACGTCCACTTTTGTGTGTGTTTTTGTTTTTGTTTTTTTCTACAATTGAAGGTGAACAAAGTGCTAAACAGAGAGGGTTTTGGCTGTATTTTGTCTATACGGAGAGCCTGTTTTTCAGAAAAGTTATATAGGCATAGAAATTTTATAATTTTGACGTGAAGTATAAATTTTCAGACGAAGAGTTAACCATTTGAATAAAATAAGATTTGAGACATGTCATGCGGCAACAGCATCAACTTTCTGCGCATGTTTGCGAATCAAAACGGCTACACGTATCTAGACACATGAACATAACTTTTGAGCTCAAACAAGCTGCCCGTAAGCCCAACCGGTATACATTTTAAAGCCGGTAACATGTGAACAATATGGTAACCGGCATATTAACGGATGATAACTTCTGAGCTCGGAAGAGAATGCTAAAACAGTCCGAAGGAGTTTAAGTTCTCATCGTGATAATTGTCTGTGAATAGCCCGGTAACTCACACATAAATAGCCTGGTAACAAAATGGCAACACCCAACTGAGATAAGTTTTGGAGCCCAAAGCAGCAGTACGCAAACAGTATGGCAAGTGGCAACTCACATATTACTGCATGTTAACTTCATAGCTGAGAATAAGATCGAGAGTTTCTCCAATATATGGTAGCATGGGCACCAATGGTGGACCAAGGACTAAAGGTTCAATACTTAAGTTTCTCTTCTATATAAGAGATCTGCAAGCACGAATTAAGTTTGAAGTCGCCGATGCTGCTGCTGCTACTTAGTGCACGAATGCTTAATTATTTACAGACTTGGTTACTGGAGTATGTTGTTGTTGCTGCAGTGCAGATCGATCGCCGAGCGGTTGCTCAGATCAAACCATCATCCTGGCTTGCGGTTGCGGGGGGGTCATCTCCATCTTCACTCCCGCCCGGACGGCCGCCGGCCCTGCAACTGCAAGGAGACGAGCAGTTCAGAGGCGGTTACATCTGTATTCAGATTTCAGCAGAGCATAAACACGTAGGAGGTTCAGATCATCTCTTGGCACAGATCAGTGAAGAAGAAGAAGAAGAAGAAGAAGAAAGAGATCAGTTTCAGTCTTTTGTTTTCAGACCTTTGTATTTCCGTTAGAATGCTGCCACGGCCAGCCCGCCGCCGACGAACACCGCGGTGAGGAAAGGATGATCGTTCATCAGCTTCCCTGCAGCCATCGTGATCAGATCAAAATATTTTCCACGCCGGCGCAGTAAGAAGAAGAGGAGGAGTGCAGTGTGCTCTGCTCACCGAGCCTTCTGAGCGGGGGCACCCGCGCCGGCGCAGTGGAAGTGACGGTGGCGGTGGCGACGGCGACGTCGAAGCGCAGGTAGCAGTCGAAGCCGACGGCGGCGCCGGCCACGCCGTCGCGCCACGCGTCGAGGCCCCAGCAGCAGGTGTCCCCCGCCCGCGCCGACTGCCGGGGGCACCAGGACCACTCGCAGGTCTCCGCCACCCGCGCCGAGTACTGCACGCACCACGCGCACTCCGCCGCCGTGCGGTCCTGCGCGCACTGCGCCAGCACGCGCACCGTGCTGTTCTTCTTGTAGTCGCTCGCTGCGGCCGTCCAGTCCATGGCCACCAGCATCCTCGCGCTGGCGGGCGCGACCGGCCCCAGGCGCCACGCCAGGTCGGCGAGGCTCTGCAGCTCGGGGGACGAGCTGGTGGCGAGCGCGTCGGCGCCGGTGATGACGCGCGCGCGGAAGTCATCGTAACTGGGCGAGGACGGGTTGGTGTCGGCGTAGGACGCGAAGCAGGCGTCCGTCCAGACGCCGGCGCGCCGGCCGCGGGCACCGCAGGCGTCGGTCAGCTTCTTGGCCGCGGCGGCCAGGCACGCGCGGCACTGGGACGGCGTGGCGTACCCGAAGCAGAGCCCGCGGACGAACGCGACGTCGCGTCCGACCACTCCGGCGGAGCGCAGGGACGCGAAGCCCGTGGGCACGGCGGCGGCGGGGAGGTTGGCGAGGAGGGAGAGCACGTTGGCTTGGAACGCCGTGGCGTTCTTGGCGCTGCTGGCGTTGGCGTCTGCCTGCGCGTGCGGCGGGTGGCACTGGACCAAGGTGGGGATGACGCGCGGGCGCTCCCCCGAGTCCGAGGCCGCGGCGGCGGCGGCGGTGACGAGGACGAAGAGGAGGAGGAGGAAGGGAGGCGTGGAGCCCGCCATTGCCGGTCTCGTGCTCTGGCGCTCGCTTCGGCAACTGGTGAAGTGGTGAAGTGGCGATGGAGGTAGTAATAACAGAGCAGAGCAGGCGGGGAGTGCAGGACAGGAGACGAGACGCGTCGGAGGAGCTTTGGTGTTGGGCGGCGCCTTCCGCGTAGCTTCGCGCTGTACGGCGAGTCTGCTTGTGACGAAAATGGAGAGACGAAAGAAGAAGAGGACCCGAGCGGTTTTGCCATTCCGGGCGTCTCCCTCCTCTCATCATACCTGCCTGCTCGCTCGCTTTATCACCCTTTGAACATGCAATGCAATGGCAGCCCGCGTGAAAGAGCAGAGGGGAGACTTGCTGCAGTGTGCTGTAGAAACTAGTACGCGTTTCCTAGAGATTCTAACTAGAGAAAAGAAAAACACTCAAGATTACAACAAATCTGAGGAGGAAATTCTCTTTCAGATGGTTCCTCAAATAACTTATGTATATGTATCTGAGTATGTATGTATGTAAAGCATACACACTCAAAATGTGTTGCCTAGGCCCTCCATCCTTTCTACTGCATCATGAGCATTCCCAGCATATATATATATATATAGCACACTAATGAGGCCATGGAATTTGTTGCCCCTGAACCAGGAAAATGCTCTCCCGCTAAAATGAGTCATCAGCAAATTGACCCAACCCTTGTTTAGCTGCTTCAAAAATCTTGAAGAAATCAGAAGAATAAAACCAAGGATTTTAGAAGATAATAATATCATCAAGAAACAACCAGCAATACGCAAGACATCAGAATTAAACGACATCCATCCCTTCCTAACATGAACTGGACTTGTTACTGTGTAGCAGCACCACATTCACAGGCATACAAATTCATACACCTATGTATGTATGCAGGAATTTCCTACACCCCCTACCCCCTACTCCTGCACTGATACGAGATGCTACAGCCACAGGTTGTGCAAAACAGGGAGCCCTTCAGCAGGTATCCCTCCCCCTTGCGCTCATGCATGTTCACCACACGGGACAAAATTACATGCACTCGCAGCACACGCTACCGTAGGGGAAAACCACCACTCTATCAGACTATGGCCCAAAACCTAGCATAATGCGCAGCTCCTCAAGGCGCAGCTCCTTTTCCTCCTTGCCTCCTACTTTCTTCCTGAACGCGCCGCTGATCAGCCGCTTCTTCCTCTCCTGCAGCTCCAGGACCCTCTCCTCGATGCTGTTCTTCACGATGAGCCGCACCACCTTCACCGCTTTCTTCTGCCCAATCCGGTGCACCCGGTCCATGGCCTGCTCCTCCGTCCCAGGGTTCCACCAGGGGTCGAACAGGTACACTGTCGACGCCGCTGTTAGGTTCACGCCAGCTCCTGCAGCCTTCAGGCCAGCCAGCAGTACGGTTGGGGCATCGGGGCCGACGGCCGCAAACTCCTTTATAACATCTGACCTCTTCTTCACGCTCATGGTGCCGTCAAGACGTAGTATTTTGAAGCCTGCTCTTTTCAGTGGTCCTTCGAGCAGAATCAACATCTTCTGGAACTGGGAAAACACGACAGACTTTGATGAAGGGTCTTCCTTTTGTGACCGCTTCAGTAGCTCCAGCAGGGCTTGCACCTTGGAAGAGAGAGGTTTGTCAGACTCAAGACTGCCCGATTCATCGTCATCAGGATGTTGTACCGCCGGAGCAATAAAGAGGTCGTCTTTCGATAGGGAGCGCCGACATATTGGACAACGGGAACTGGCGCTCTTGAGGATTTTTAGGATGCAGGTTTGGCAATATATGTGAGTGCAGCTTGTTATAACAGTTGTAGATGGAGGAGACAAGCAAATTGGACAGTCAAAGTCCTCTCCATCAGCAACCAATGAGGCAAGCTTCTTCAACAATTCGGGGTTCTTAGACACATCTGCAACAAAGGTAACAGATTTCTCTATAAGTAGCAACAAAGATATTTCCAAAGTGAAAAGTACAAGAACAATACAACAACAACAACAACAACAACAACAAAGCCTTTAGTCCCAAACAAGTTGGGGTAGGCTAGAGGTGAAACCCATAAGATCTCGCAACCAACTCGGCTCTGGCACATGGATAGCAAGCTTCCACGCACCCCTGTCCATAGCTAGCTCTTTGGTGATACTCCAATCCTTCAGGTCTCTCTTAACGGACTCCTCCCATGTCAAATTCGGTCTACCATGCCCTCTCTTGACATTCTCCGCACGCTTTAGCCGTCCACTATGCACCGGAGCTTCTGGAGGCCTGCGCTGAATATGCCCAAACCATCTCAGACGATGTTGGACAAGCTTCTCTTCAATTGGTGCTACCCCAACTCTATCTCGTATATCATCATTCCGGACTCGATCCTTCCTCGTGTGGCCACACATCCATCTCAACATACGCATCTCCGCCACACCTAACTGTTGAACATGTCGCCTTTTAGTCGGCCAACACTCAGCGCCATACAACATTGCGGGTCGGACCGCCGTCCTGTAGAACTTGCCTTTTAGCTTTTGTGGCACTCTCTTGTCACAGAGAATGCCAGAAGCTTGGCGCCACTTCATCCATCCGGCTTTGATTCGATGGTTCACATCTTCATCAATACCCCCATCCTCCTGCAGCATTGACCCCAAATACCGAAAGGTGTCCTTCTGAGGTACCACCTGGCCATCAAGGCTAACCTCCTCCTCACACCTAGTAGTACTGAAACCGCACATCATGTACTCGGTTTTAGTTCTACTAAGCCTAAACCCTTTCGATTCCAAGGTTTGTCTCCATAACTCTAACTTCCTATTTACCCCCGTCCGACTATCGTCAACTAGCACCACATCATCCGCAATGAGCATACACCATGGGATATCTCCTTGTATATCCCTTGTGACCTCATCCATCACCAATGCAAAAAGATAAGGGCTCAAAGCTGACCTCTGATGCAGTCCTATCTTAAAGTACAAGAACAATGACAGACACAATTGTGTTGCAGCATGATACAGTAAGGTAAGTAAGTCAGGGATAAGAATAACTGGACAGAGATAGGAACAATCAATTTCATCATTCCTTGCTTGTTACAGTGGCAAACGTAAAAATATATTATCAACAATAAGCTGAAAACAATATATTCATGCTGAATGCAAACTTCATTTTTAGAGCACGTGTTAAATTGATACCAATCATCATTCACAATATTATAATTGAGTCAAGCAATTCCTACAATCAACCAAGGTTACTAAAAAGGATCACTACCCCTAAATATTCAACCTAACTTGAATGGGATTTGAAAACGATTTAATATTTTCTGGATGATAGCACCTAAAGTACGAATTTTTTTTGCCACCCTGATAGTACCAAAATTTTCTGCAAGGTGTGAGAAATTTTTCGCTATGCAATGGTCTAGGGATATTGCTGCAATATGCAAATGTATTAAGTGCTTAGAAAGGTTTATCGGCAAAGCTACCATCACTATTGTGTACTGTGGACTTGTGGTAACTGATATCAAGTTCTAGTGAAAAATTAATCATAATCCCGTTGCAAGGTAACTACTCACTCTGTATCTTATAACAAGAGCAAAAGCCTTGCAATATAACAAAATTATTGATTAACTACCAATCCACTTACTGACATTTGTTCGCCTTGAATAGATAAACGAACAGCATTTAAGTACTTTGCTAGGTGGATGCTAATACAGTACAACGGTCTGTTTCCTGAGGAAGCAAGACAAAAGTCCATTCAGATACTAATATACTAGTATAACTCACATGTGATGCTTCTTTATATTGTAAGTGTCAAATGTGGCAAATGAAATATCAATTCTGTCTATACTAATATCATCATAACAAAAAAGCATGAACACAAAAACACAGAAGTCCATACCTTCAAGGGTGTTGGCAGGAAGCCAGGATTTAATGTCGAAAGGGCACAGTGCTACATCATTGCAGAGCTGGCGTAGCCTCAGAATCAAAAAAAGCACGGTTGAGTAATTACGCAATATTGAATCTCTGTCACCAAACTCCATCATTTTGTTTCTCCCTTCCGATTCCATCTGATCATAACACTCCCGTTCCTCTGCAGAAAGCTCAATGGAACACACTACAACAGTTTTAGGTGGAATGCCTATCACACTCTTGCTTCCACACTCTGTTTCTTTGGTTCTGCGCAATGAGATAGCACCTAGCAGGTTCTGCAATACATAGAGAAGAAATTTACCTTGCAGAAATGAAATACAGCATCAATTGTTTGAGATCCCATTCAAACACCATTATACCAGCACTAACTATTTTTCCCAAATGAAGAGTGCCAAACATTGAATAGCAAAATCGAAATAATGGACAATAAGATATACATGTAGGCGCGCTATGATCGGCTGATGGCAAGTAGTAAGAGAATTTGATGCGCAAGAGCCTATACAAATGTCAGGAACAAAACCTATAGGAAGATATGTACTCCAAGCAAACAGCATGAGTAATAATTTTCTAATCCTAGGAGCTGGTCATCACCTTCACTGTTCAAAAACATTTGATGCAACTTGCTACAATTCCTAGTTCTTTACAATTGCAAAACGACGAAAATGGTGTGATGAGAAGAAAGGGACAACCGCCTTACTTGTAATCGTGACAATCCAGCCTTATCCCCTTTCTCCAGGGGACGCTGGATTAAGCTCTGCCAGTAGCTCTTGACTGAGAAAGGCTCAAACTTCAAAAAAGCCATAAGCGGGAACAAATCCAAGGAGCTGTTCTGAATTGGCGTCCCTGTGACTACCCACCGCCTCTGTGCATTCAAAGCAGTCACCGCCTTGGTCTGCAGAGCTGCAGAGTTCTTGATAATATGGGCCTCATCCAGAATCACCCGGAACCACTCGATATCGTTCACAGGTGAGCCCTCCTGGCCAAATTCTGTGCCCAAGACGCTGTAAGTGGTAATCACAATGTCATACTTCAACAGCACCTTCTTATCTTTTGTTCTCTGCCCATGGTACATATACACCTTCAAGCTGCCTGCATTCGTATGCTCCTCCAGTTGTGTCACCCAAGACGAGAACACCGAGGGCGGGCACACCACAAGTGTCGTCCTCGATCCCTCCTCCGCATCATCGATCTTCCTCCTTTTGGTCCCTTTGGCCTTCCCCCCTCCGACATTGCGAGCTTTACTTCGCGCAATCAATGACAACAGCGTGAGCGTCTTGCCAAGCCCCATATCATCGGCGAAAATCCCGCCTCTCAGTGGTGGCGGCCTCTGCTTGGCATTCTGGCTGGTAAGCACATTCTCGTAGCCCCCATTTTTATCTTCCTTCCAGAATGGCGGCAGGTCACCGGACTCCTCCCTGTGCACCAGCCATCCCAAGGCTACCTTCTGGTGCTCGAACAGGTCTGACACCACGACATCCTCTGGAGGCTCCATAGGCTCAATCCGGCTCTCCCCTTGCTTCCCCACACGCGCGAACAGCTTATCGACATCCCGGTCGGATTTCTTGGTCTGCTCTTGCACGATGGCGGACTGGGACAGGGCGAACTCGATGTGGTTCGGGTCGATGAGGACGAGGCCGCTCTCGTCGACGGCCTCGCGGACGATGGCGGCGGCGGCGGGGCGGGCGAAGAGGTGGATCTGGCAGGGGAGGTTGTAGAAATTGTTGCCGGCCTTGGAGGACCGGCTCCCGGGCACGAGGACGTGGGTGTTGGCGACGAGGAGGGAGTCGAGGAGCGGGGCGAGGACCTTGGCGGTGCGGCCCTCGATGTGGCCGACCTGGCGGCCGCGGCTGTTGTGGACGGCGATGGCGTTGCTGTCGTAGCGGTTGAGGGGCTCGCGGATGAGGGAGGGCCTCTCGCCGCCGCTGAGGGTGCCGCTGTAGTGCTTGAGGCCAACGATCTTGGAGACGACGAATCCCACGAGGTAGGGCTCGTTGTCGTCGTCGCCGCCGCCGGCCCCGCGGGAGGAGGAGGAGGAGGCGGCCATGGTGGCGGCTGCGGAGGGAGGAAGGAAGGGAGGGGTTTGAAACCGAAAAGGCGGTGGAAGCGGAGAGGTGGGGAGAGGTTTGGGGTTAGGGTGAAGAGTGGGGAAATTTTACCGACCGCAGAGGATGGATGGGTCGATGGGACTCCACGGGATATACCTCGGTGCTCCCGGTGGGCGCACCCTGTATCACTGTATGCAAATTTAGTACTGTAATTCTAAAAAATGAATTTTTTTAATCAAACATGATCAAGATCAAGTACTGTACTTGTATAGAAAAATTGGCCAAAAAATGATTTACATTGACTTCATGGCAAAAAAAGAAAAACAAATCTATGACTACAATATAGCATGAATAGCATTTGTATATAGCGTTATTTGTCAATTTTTTGCCGAATCTTTTTATATGAATGCAATACTTGATCATGTTGATGCCAAAGAAGTTTCAGAATGTTTTGAACTTTTTTTTAGTTACTAAATTACTTTTGCATATAGGGTGCGCGCGCAGGAGCACCAGGTTCTCTTCCGGGAATCCAGCGCCTCTTAATTCGTTTCTCGGGGATTACAGCCGGTCTTACCAAATCGGCCCCCCTAAACGTCTGCGGATGCGTGTCCGTGGACAGTGACCGGTCACCCTTCAAATGTCCTCTTCCACGGCCTTCGACTGGGTACCTTATTAGCAAATCTTCAAATTCATACAATTGCATACAACGTAAATTTTAGTCTAATCTTCGCCGACGCCCGTCCTTATTATTTCCTTCCGTGCCCATGTCTGATAGTCGTGACACCCGCGAAGTGAAGGTTCGCTCGGCGGCGAGGAAGAGTAGGACATGGGACCCGGACTGGCCCACACGAGACATGAGATGTCGTCGTCTCCCATGCCCCCTCTTCCTCGTCGGAGCCCCCGGCCTGGATGTCACCGATCGACTGGAGCCTGGAGGTCCACGATAGAAGTAGACGAGGCGACCTCATGGTCGGATATTGGCTCCACCACCATGCGGATGCGGCGCCAGTGGGTGCTAGTCACCTATTACAGCACCACGCCGCGTGCAACCCTGTCTCCGCGACCTCGGCCCAAGGGCTGCAACTGCCTCATGCACCCTCTTCCTCAGGCGGCGGGCACTCCGCTCCATAAAACCGGACGAACTATGATGCATGCCGGTGTTTACCTCCGATTCAAAGCCCGGTGCCGCGAGGAAGATGCGTGATACGTCTCTAATGTATCTATAATTTTTCATTATTTCATGCTATTATATTATGGTTTTTAATACATTTTATAGTATTTCATATTGTCTTTCTCGACTAACCTATTAATCTAGTGCCTAGTGTCAGTTCTTGTTCTCTACATGTTTTTGGTTTTATAGAAAATCCATATCTACGGAGACCAGAATAACTTGCCAATTTAATATGAATTTTTCAGACAACGAAGGATCCATGAAGCATCGGGGGAGCACGAGAGGAGCCAGGGAGCCACGCGCCCAGGTGGGGCGGCTAGGGCCTTGGTCGCGCCCCTAGGTAGTGTGGGCCCTACTTCCACCGCCTTTCGTCCATTCCACTGCCATAAATTCTTGTAAATAGAGAAACCCTCTGAGATATTTTTATCCGGTTTTTTTCTGCAGCTGCAAGTTTCTGATTCGAGGAGATCCAATTTGGAGGCCTGTTCTGGAGCTTTTTCGGAGGGGGGGTCCATTACTGTATGCTTCTTCATCAACCGTACTACCTCCACGACCATGTGTGTGTAGTTCGCTTAGGACCTTAGGATCCATATTAGTAGTTAGATGGCTCTCTCTCTCTCTCTAAAGGAAATATGCCCTAGAGTCAATAATAAAGTTGTTATTTATATTTCCTTATATAATGATAAATGATTATTATTCATGCTAGAATTGTATTAACCGGAAACTCAGTACATGTGTGAATACATAGACAAACGGAGTGTCCCTAGTATGCCTCTACTTGACTACCTCGTTAATCAAAGATAGTTATGTTTCCTGACCATAGACCTATGTTGTCATTTGATAAACGGGATCACATCACTAGAGAATGATGTGATGGACAAGACTCATCCGTTAGCTTAGCATTATGATCGTTTAGTTTTATTGCTATTGCTTTCTTCATGACTTATACATATTCCTCTGACTATGAGATTATGCAACTCCCGAATACCGGAGGAACACCTTGTGTACTATCAAACGTCACAACGTAACTGGGTGATTATAAAGATGCTCTTTAGGTGTCTCCGAAGGTGTTTGTTGAGTTGGCATAGATCAAGATTAGGATTTGTCACTCTGTGTATCGAAGAGGTATCTCTGGGCCCTCTCGGTAATGCACATCACTATAAGCCTTGCAAGCAATGTGACTAATGAGTTAGTTGCGGGATGATGCATTACGGGACGAGTAAAGAGACTTGCCGGTAATGAGATTGAACTAGGTATGATGTGTTGGGATTCGTAGTAATTTCAAAAATTTTCCTACGCGCACACAGGATCATGTGATGCATAGCAACGAGAGGAGAGTGTTGTCTACGTACCCAACGCAGACCGACTGCGGAAGCGATGACACGACGTAGAGGAAGTAGTCGTACGTCTTCATGATCCAACCGATCAAGTACCGAAACTACGACACCTCCGAGTTAGAGCACACGTTCAGCTCGATGACGATCCCCGGACTCCGATCCAGCAAAGTGTCGGGGAAGAGTTTCGTCAGCACGACGGCGTGGTGACGATCTTGATGAACTACAGCAGCAGGGCTTCGCCTAAACTCCGCTACAGTATTATCGAGGAATATGGTGGCAGGGGGCACCGCACACGGCTAAGGAATCGATCACGTGGATCAACTTGTGTCAACTTGTGTGTTTAGAGGTGCCCCTGCCTCCGTATATAAAGGAGGAGAGGAGGGGAGGCTGGCCGGCCAAGGGGGGGAGGCGCAGGAGAGTCCTACTCCCTCTGGGAGTAGGATTCCCCCTCCAATCCTAGTCCAACTAGGATTCCTCGGAGGGGAAAAGAGGAGGAGGGGGCCGGCCACCTCTCCTAGTCCTAATAGGACTAGGGGGTGGCGCGCAGCCCATCTAGGGCAGCCCCTTCTCTTTTCCACTAAGGCCCACTATGGCCCAAATAGCTCCCGGGGGGTTCCGGTAACCCTCTCGGTATTCCGGTAAAATCCCGATTTCACCCGGAACACTTTCGATATCCAAATATAGGCTTCCAATATATCAATCTTTACGTCTCGACCATTTCGAGACTCCTCGTCATGTCCGTGATCACATCCGGGACTCCGAACAACCTTCGGTACATCAAAATGCATAAACTCATAATATAACTGTCATCGTAACCTTAAGCGTGCGGACCCTACGGGTTCGAGAACAATGTAGACATGACCGAGACACGTCTCCGGTCAATAACCAATAGCGGGACCTGGATGCCCACATTGGCTCCTACATATTCTACGAAGATCTTTATCGGTCAGACCGCATAACAACATACGTTGTTCCCTTTGTCATCGGTATGTTACTTGCCCGAGATTCGATCGTCGGTATCCAATACCTAGTTCAATCTCGTTACCGGCAAGTCTCTTTACTCGTTCCGTAATACATCATCTCACAACTAACATATTAGTTGTAATGCTTGCAAGGCTTATGTGATGTGTATTACCGAGAGGGCCCAGAGATACCTCTCCGACAATCGGAGTGACAAATCCTAATCTCGAAATACGCCAACCCAACATCGACCATTGGAGACACCTGTAGTACTCCTTTATAATCGCCCAGTTACGTTGTGACGTTTGGTAGTACCCAAAGTGTTCCTCCGGTAAACGGGAGTTGCATAATCTCATAGTCATAGGAACATGTATAAGTCATGAAGAAAGCAATAGCAACATACTAAACGATCGGGTGCTAAGCTAATGGAATGGGTCATGTCAATCAGATCATTCTACTAATGATGTGACCTCGTTAATCAAATAACAACTCATTGTTCATGGTTAGGAAACATAACCATCTTTGATTAACGAGCTAGTCAAGTAGAGGCATACTAGTGACACTTTGTTTGTCTATGTATTCACACATGTATTATGTTTCCGGTAAATACAATTCTAGCATGAATAATAAACATTTATCATGATTATAAGGAAATAAATAATAACTTTATTATTGCCTCTAGGGCATATTTCCTTCAGTCTCCCACTTGCACTAGAGTCAATAATCTAGATAACACTGTAATGATTCTAACACCCATGGAGCTTTGGTGTTGATCATGTTTTGCTCGTGGAAGAGGCTTAGTCAACGGGTCTGCAACATTCAGATCCGTATGTATCTTGCAAATCTCTATGTCTCCCACCTGGACTAGATCCCGGATGGAGTTGAAGCGTCTCTTAATGTGTTTGGTCCTTTTGTGAAATCTGGATTCCTTTGCCAAGGCAATTGCACCAGTATTGTCACAAAAGATTTTCATTGGACCCGATGCACTAGGTATGACACCTAGATCGGATATGAACTCCTTCATCCAGACTCCTTCATTTGCTGCTTCCGAAGCAGCTATGTATTCCGCCTCACATGTAGATCCCGCTACGACGCTTTGTTTAGAACTGCACCAACTGACAGCTCCTCCGTTTAATGTAAACACGTATCCGGTTTGCGATTTAGAATCGTCCGGATCAGTGTCAAAGCTTGCATCAACGTAACCTTTTACGGTGAGCTCTTTGTCACCTCCATATACGAGAAACATATCCTTAGTCCTTTTCAGGTATTTTAGGATGTTCTTGACCGCTGTCCAGTGATCCACTCCTGGATTACTTTGGTACCTCCCTGCTAAACTTATAGCAAGGCACACATCAGGTCTGGTACACAGCATTGCATACATGATAGAGCCTATGGCAGATGCATAGGGAACATCTTTCATATTCTCTCTATCTTCTGCAGTGGTCGGGCATTGAGTCTTACTCAATTTCACACCTTGTAATACAGGCAAGAACCCTTTCTTTGCTTGATCCATTTTGAATTTCTTCAAAAT